GTGCTTGGCTGTGAAATGACTGTACGCATGGGCGCTCACACACGCACACACGGGCGCGCGCTCACACACACACACACACACACACACACACACACACACACACACACGGACGCACGCACGCACGCACGCACACACACACACACATGCATGCATACAGGCACAACCTCACATGTGTGTGCAAACACTGAACATTCACCCACTCATCATACACAGCAGCCCTGCCCGCCCCAAAAATGCGCGCACGCACCAGCTCCGCTTTGACGCTGCTGCCGGGGGCCAGGTTGCGGCTCAGCTGCTCCTGCCAGGCGCGGTGCGCCTCCAGGTCAGCGGGCGTGGCCCGGTAGCTGCTGCCCGCGGCGTTGTACGTGTTAAGCAAGAAGTCATCCACCTGAGGGCGAGCAAGTAAAAATCATGTAGTGGTGATGTTGCACTGCACGCATCAGCGTCTGCGAATGCATCTGCTGTGCTCCAGGACGCAGCCTGCGACGCGATTGCATCCTGCAACACCCCTAAAGGCAGCCCGTTGAGCGCCCAGCATGCGCAGAGGCGCACATCTTAGAAGGCGGCGTCAATCCGGCCCCAGCCTCGCGGCTTGAAAGGACGCTGACGGCCAGCCTTCCCCCCCCCCCCCCCCCCAGCACCCCAACGACCACCCCCGGGACCCGCCTCCTGAGCCAAGCCAGGGGCGGGCGGGCTGGCAGCTGTGGGGCCCCACCTGCAGCGACAGCAGCACGCGCCGCTCCCCAGGGATGAGGTTCTGCAGAGCCCACGCGACTCCCAGGTGACCCAGCACGAAGCACGCCGACGACTCGTCGCTGCACTGCAGCATCAGCGCCATCGCCTCGCGGCCGTCGCCGTGAGTGACCAGCACGCCCGCCGTTTGTGCGTCGAGCGCGCCCGCGGGGCCCGCAGCGGCGGCGGCGGCGGTGGGGGGCGCAGGATCAGAGGCGCGGAGGATGGGCGTGGCTCGGCAGGGGGCGCAGCTGGGCGCTTGCGCGCCTGCCAGCTGGTTGCAGCAGGTGCCGCTGGCGGTGGCCTCGAAACCGGGGCACCTGCAGGAGGCGTGGGTTTGCGATCGTGTGAGGCAGGCACCGGCTGAGCAGCAGCATGGCGCCGCCGGGCTAGAGCCCAAAACATAATTTTTCTGGCTGTGCCCAAAAGTTACAGGTCAAAGGGCCAGGACCAAAGCACTCGCCAAACCCCATTTGGGGCACAGGGCGCCGCCCATGCAGCCGCCGAGCCGCCGCGCCGCCTGGCGGGCCGCCTCACCTCTTGAGCCCCTGCCCGGACAGCACCGCCCCCACCCGCACGCCGCTCGAGCCCAGTGGCGCCGCGGGCGTGAGGGCCAGCCGCGCGTCGCCGCTCGCGCACGCGGCGGGCGCCATGCCGTAGCTCGCCGGGGCGGCGTCAAACTTCAAAGCGCGCGCGCCCGTCTGGCGCTGGTACTCCTTGATTGCCGAGGCCTGGGCGGCGGTCATGTATCCCAGCGCCTCGACGTCGGGGTGCATTATGATGCCAGCGAAGCGGCCGGCGGCGCCTGGGGCCTCCCAGAGGAAGCTGGAGAGGTCGGCCGCCCCCGGCGCGCCGCCGTCGAGCGGCAGCACCGTGAGTGGCGCGCCGTAGCCTGGAGGATCCGAAGAAGGGTTGAGTTGGGGGCAGCGCATGCGGGCGGGCAGGGTGTAGGGCGGTCAGGGGCGGGTGAATGAGTCGAGTCGCTGTGTGCGTTCGTGCGCGGCGGGAAGAACGTGGCGGCGCGTTTGGGCTGTGCAGGCGTCAGTTCGTGCCTGTCCCAGGCCAGGCCCTGCTGCTTACCGAGCATGATTTTTTCTATAAAGCTTGTGGCCCACTTCTGATATGCCGTGGTAGTGAGTAGCAGGGTCCGTGCCTCCAAGGTGAACACGTCCTGGGCCCGCGCCCCCACGGCCAACAGGGCCATGACAACCCATAAAACCTTGGTCATCATGGATTTCGAGGCGCTTGGGACGCCCGCTGGCCGCGCCTGGCGCGTTTTCATGGGTCAGGAAGCCATTATTTCCTTCTGCGCGGGCGATGCGCGGTGAGATCAATCGCAAGTCGTGTCAAAAATCAAGCGCAACAAGTTTCAAATGGTTCCACCCCTATCAAGGCCCATGACACCGGCCCCCGGGTGCAGACTTTCGCAGTCACCTCGCAGTGAAGTATCATGATACAAGCTCCGTCGTCGGGTGCTTGCCCTGCAAAACAATTTCCTTCGTGTCCTTGCATTAATTGACACAACTGATACTGTTCTACACCCAACGCACGCACATCAATTCCTGGGTGGCCACACTGCCGTTCTGCCCATGTCGCGTCCGACCCAGACCGTGGACACAAGGACAGCCCGAGCCTCAGCCCGTTTGATCTGCGACAATCAGCGAGCTCGTGTAGTGCATGCCCAGTGCAGATTTTCCCTGGGCTGCCGCCAGACGCACTGGTACGCGTGGGTCACCCCAGCCACACACAACCGCCACCCAGCCACGTACTACAGACTTGCTGTTGCATGATCGTCCCTGCTCACTCAATGGCCTGATGTGCGCCCTCCTGCCCCTGCGCACCGGGCGAAACCGGGCACCATGATCTGGTCTTCTTTATCAATAATATGTTTCAACTCGCGCAGGCGTCTGCCTCCCATGGGGTTTCTGCGGGTGATGCGTGAGAACACCAGGGCACTTGCCTTTCGTTGCGGGTCAACTGTAGGTGTGCTAACCACTTGCAGAGGCATGAAGGGGGTGATGATGCTTCTTATCCTCAGCAAGCGAACCGAATTTAATCATGGTGCCTTTTTGTATTGGCCTTGGTGCAACCAGCTGCGCACCACAAACAGCGACTGGGGGTGTGCTGACTCGGGGCGTGGGCCACACGCCTCGCGGCAGCGTGATGGCCAGCGCGGCCCAACGTAGGGCTGATCGGTTGGTTCATCAGCACAATACCGGTACCGTGCACGGAATGCGACAGTCCGGAGCCCGTCAAACTAGATGGACATCGCGAGTTTGAGATTGTAAATGCAGAACACGTGTTAAGGGAATGTAAGTTATCTTTCGTATTATCTCGCATGTATTTGAGAGTTCGTTTGACTGCCTCGCAGTCGAAACCTTCCACTGGCTGTTTGCACAGCACGAGCTTCTGACGAGCGTACACAACACGAGACACGTGTCATCAAGTTCAGAAACTCCCACACTGGTCCTGCTGAGCATTGTCATGTGAGAGCCTCGAAGGTGTGCTTCCGGCAGAGCGGCACACCTACCAGGACTGAGCATTCTGCGACCGCCAGCCGCGGTCGCAGTAATGCAACCCCCAGAGGACGCGCTCGAGCTGCAGAGCGTGCAGCAACTGCAGCAATTCTGCAGGGATCGCGGGTGGTGCAGCCACATGGGCGCGAGCAAGGCAGAGCTAGTCGACCTAATTTCAACCAGGCGGCTCGAGCATCAGCGCGGCGCCACAGCAGCGTCGGCGTCGGCCGTGGCGCAGGCGGCGCATGCGGCCACGGGCAGCGGGTGTGAATGTGCGGGAGCGGAGCTGCAAGCACGGTGTGCCGCGCTGCTCAAAGAGAAAAAAGGCGCCCTAATTGAGCCCCTGGGCGATCCCGCGGCCCTAGCCCCAGCCCCCAAGCCGGCGGGAGCGGGCGCGCACCACGCCGCGCCGCCGGCGCCGCCGGCAGGCACCCAGGACGACGGCGGCGCGTGGCGCATCCCGGCTGGCGAGGGCGGGTGGCGGAATGGAGGCAAGGCTCCCTCAGAGGGCCAGCGCCACGCGACCTCCCGAGACGCTGACGAGGCCTCGTCGGCTGGGGCCCCGGCCCCGGCGAGCGAGGGCGGCGGCAGCTGTGGCCGGGGCCAGGCCACCATCACGCTGTCTGATTGGCGAGCGCCTGCGGTAACTGCTGTTTTTGCGACCGGGGCTGTGAGCTTTTGGGGGGATGGTGCGGATGCGCTGGAAGCCGAGGCGGCGTCGCCAGAGGCGGCAGCAGGGGGCGTCGGTGCATCAACGAACGTTGCGGACGCTGCACAGGCAGCTGCGGAGGCGCAGAGCTCGAGCTTCTCCGAGGGCAGAGGCTCCCAGGACGGCCTCGTGCGGGCCGCAAGCGCCGCGTCAGCGCCCGCGGCGATGCCTGCGAGGCCAAGGGAATACCTATTGTCAGTAGCGGTCGGGGCGGCGGCAGCGGCTGCGGCCCGGCAGCGGGCGCTTGCTGCAGATGCACGCCGCCTGCTGTCATCGTCCACTGGAGGGAGGGCCAGCAGCGCTGCGGCCGCAGCAGCAGCGGCGGCGGCGGCGGCGGCGGCGGCAAATTCGCGTGGACAGAGGTTGCAGTCGAAGCAGCAGCCAAAGCAGCCGTCCCCGAAGCACCACATGCACCACCCGCAGCGCAGCTCAGCAGACGGCGCGATAGGCAGCAACAGCAGCAGCTGCAACAGTCGGCCGCACAGTCCACGCAGGAGCGCCGACGGGGGCGGCAGTGGCGGCCGCAGCCTGCCGCACCACCACCAGCACCACCATCAACACCACCACCACAGCCGCCACGCGGCCAGCAGCAGCGGCGCAGCTGCTGCTGGCAAGGGTACGACAATGGGCACGCAGCCGCCGCGACAGCAACAGCAGCAGGGAGCGGCATACCACATGGCGAGCAGGTAGGCGAGACCACTGCAAGCGCAAGCAGCCTCAAGCCCGCAGGCACTTGGCTTGCCAATCGCCACTGGACTGCCCGCCGCGGCACGTGGACTGCTCTCATGACGGCCTTCTCAGCTGAGGTCTTCCATTCCTCATTTTCTACCCCGCAGGGCCCTGTCAGCTACTCACGGATCCCGCTCCAACGCGTCATCGCCGCCCCGCGGGCGCCTCCAGCTGTCCCCGCGCCTGCACCCAGGCGGCGGCAGCGGCGTCGGCGCGGATGCTGGGGCCGCTGCCGCAGCAGCGGCGCTGGGGTTTGGGGCTGCGGGCAGCGGGGCGAGCTTCACGGGTCTGGCGCATGAGCGGCGGCGGCTGGCTGAGCTGGTCGGCATCAAGGAGATAGCAAAAGGCTTTGCAAGCGGCATCTGGTGGTGAGTTCCGACCCGCCGCTGTGCAGGGCCGGTGCAGTGAGGGTGCGAGGTGGAGATGCAAGGCCAGGGGGCACGGCTCTGCCTGGGCCCATGGCTACAGACCTTGCGTGGTCTGCCCTGTGCTCGGCTCACGTGTCAAAGTTGAAAACGCGGTGCTCGAACAAGTCCACCCCCGCACATTCAATGGGATCCCGCACGTGAACGGTCACAAACCGCTCTGATACGTTCAGGAATCGACGGCTCCTGGACATATTCGCCGCTGGACGCCCCCGCGCGTCCCGCGCGGCGCTGCTGCGGCGCGCCCCGGAGCGCGCCTGCATATACGTGTGGCTGGTGCGGGCGCCGGGCACCAAGTGAGCTCGCGCTTGGGCGCAGGCTGCCGGGCTGGCTGCGCTGAAGCAAGCGTGCAGCAGCTGCGGCGCTTCGGCGCTTCATCAGAGGGATTGATGCTATCACCATGGAATGGCATCACACTGCTGCTGTTGGTCTCCTGGATGCCGTCCACTCCATGGCTTGTCGTACGACCCGAGCCAGGATTTACCTGCGACCCTTGGCCCATCCGTGCGCAAATCTAGGACGTGGGTGCCGGTGTACCTCGGGGCGGCCGATGATCTGAGGGAGCGCTTGGGATTGTACATTCACGAGGATGGCAGGTGAGTGTCATCTGGATGAGCCGCATGCATGCCGATTGGGGCTGCTGAGTGCATGGGTGTCGATCGGGATTTTGAGGCTTGTGCATGCAATCTGCAAGTAGGTGATTTTGAGAGTCGTGACGAGATCATGGTGACTCGGCTAGTGGCACAAGGCGCTGCTTGACGGATGCTGCGCCTGCAGCGGACGCCAACCTGAACCATTTGAACCCGGCTGGTGTGAAGCCCACACTGATTATCAATGGACACACCCCGCACGCTCGCACGGCTGCAACCCAGCTTCGGCCCCACGGGCGACCCTCGGCGCTTGCGGGCAATGGTGGACATGCAGCGGCGCAACTTTGCAATACAGGCAACGAAGCTGCTCATGCTTTTGGCGGGAGTGCTGCTGCGTGTTCCCTGTCCAATCCCGCGCGGCCTGGCGGCTGCCGGCAGCAGAACGCCTTGCACGATGTTCGCTTGTTCATATTTGGGCGCATCTTGCAACTCTGTTCAGCTGTTAACATCCAGATAGTGGACCACCCAGTTTGCGCCAGCCGCGGCCGGCGGCTTGCGGCGGCACGCACCCTCGTGCGTTGTACTGATCCCTGCGCCCCCTCCCGCCCACTCGTCAGGTGCGCTTCCGCCGCCTGAAGCCGCAGTACGCCAGCGCCGCCGACGACCGCGCCGCAAAGCTGCGACTGTTCGACTTCCCGCTGAACCCGCAGCCGGGCGCCGCCTGCCGGGCCATCGAGCTGCCCAGCGGAAAGCAGGTGCGCACAGGCACCGCTTTGTGCCTGTGGTGGGACCGTTCTGCTGCCTTTGTTGGCCGATCTATGTGGCCTTGCTTAGCCCAGTCCATTGCCGTGATTGCGTGTCTGGGTCTGCCAGCCGCCAGCAGCCCAACCTTGCCAGTCACAACGCAGCTGGCCCCCTGCTGGTGCATGCACAGACTGCTGCCCGCAGCCGCTTCCACGTCCGTCTGCCGCTGACCATAACTGCGCACGCACCTGCTGACTCGTCCCAGTTCGTCCCGCCGTGTCACCACCCAACCGCGTGCGTCCGTCCCGCTGCCGCTATGACGACTAACCTGCGCAGGTGTGCGAGCACCCTGTTGTCAACGCGGCAATGGCAGAGGTTTTTTGGCAGCTGCACAGGGTCACAACATAATCGCTGCCAAGTTTGACCTAAACGAAGAACGACTCACACAGCACGGCGCAGGCCTGGGCCTACGCCCCGCGCGCGCTGCACACACTGCAGCTTGCCAGACTGAAGCAGCCCGCCGCGAGGCGCGGGCAGCGAACCGGTGCACTTGGAAGTGAGGTGCAGCGGAAAGGCGTTCTGAGCAATAAAAAGCCGCGTGGGAGTGATTTTTAGGGTGCAGTCACTGCAACGGTTGCGCAACACAACACTGTATGCCACCACGCACGGAAGAATAAGCTGGCTATTCAATGATGCCGGCCTGCTGGTAGACCTGCTGCCAACGCGGCCGCAAGCAATCAGCTGTTTGCACATGCAGTTGGCGGCCCACCCAGGCGGGGGCGCTAGTGGAGGGGAGGGGACATGCCCAGAGTTTGCTGCAGGGTCAACTGCTGCGCAACTGTTGGCACGCGAGTGTACCGTTGCCGTAAAGCAAGCGTTGCCGGTACATACGGTCTCTTGTGTTTGAGAAGAGACATGTACGGGTCCACGCCTTCCTGTGTTGGCTTCTTTGTGGATGGCGCCGAGCACTTTTGAGGCGCCAACTTCGATTTGCTGACAAGGCAGCATGCTGCGCAGGTCCAGCGAGCACAATTATTCGAGCTTGAATTCACAGTGCTGTGATGTCACCGCCATCCACGCTCAGGGTATTGTCATATATATATGTGAGCATGCATGCATTTTGGTGGCTGTCCCCGAGCTGGCCGCCGGCCCACCTAATGAGCTTTGTGGCACCCCGGCTAGCGTGTAAGATCCTCGGCCCTTACATCCCACGCTGCGGGCGGCACAGTCATGGATTGTTGAAAGCAAGAGACCTTCTCCGCATTCGTCGTACTTTCGGAGGGCAGGGGTAAAGCGCAGACCCGTGGCGTTTTGCTGCCCCTATGCCGGCGGCCTGCGCGCGCGCGCTGACTGCGACATGCAGGCCAAGCCAATTGGGCTGGCCGAGGCTCGGCCCTGATTCCGAGCTGGACGTGAGAGGTGCAATATCTTTTTCATGTCGTTCTCAGCTTCGTAGTCCGGAAACATCGCTGTGCTGTTCGCATCCAAGATAACTCTGCGATCTAGCAGTGCCCGCGCTATCGCGAAACCGCTCTTCTGGACTCACCGCCACGTTCTTGACTTTCATAAAGCCTCAATTTATCGATTTTGCGCGCGTGCGTTGCTTGTGCGTCTGTGTGACTTGCTGCACACACCGATTGGCACTCGCCCCACGGGTCCCTGCGACCCTGCACGCCCCCAAAGAGCCACGACGGGGTCGTTTCAAGCGATTTTCTGAATCCTGACGTGACGATTGCGGCGCGTCGGGGTGCCATGGCCTCGCGCAGCACCCGTCGCTCGCTCACACCCCCTGCTGTGGCGCAGCACCCCGCGCCCGCCGCACCCCAGGCTGCGCCGCCCGCCGGCGCGCCCGCACTGCCACCGCTGCAGCTCTATCATGGGCCGGGCGTGGGCGCCATGCGCTTTCCGCACGCCGACGCGGCGCCAGAGGAGTCCGCCGAGCAGCCACAGGGCGGCGCCGCCGCCGGCCTTGCCGTGCAGGCCGGCCGCAAGCGCAGCCGCAAGCCGCCCCACACCTCCTCCACCGCCGCAGCGCCTGAACGGCCGCCCCCCGCGCCTTCAGCGCCTGAACGGCCCCTCCCACTGGGCTTCACACAGTCCCGCGTGCTGCCCGGCGTGCAGCCGCGCAAGCGGCGCAAGCTGGTGAGCAACGCCGGCTTGGCCCGTGGCGCGGCGCGGCGCGCCGCCCGGCAGGCTCCGCCTACCAACCTGGTGCCTGGGATTGACCCCGCATTGCCTGCGCCGGCCCCATCGAACCTCTTTGCTTCAGGGTTACGCCATATATATGCCTAATAGCCCGCCCTCCGCCCCGAACCCCAGCTCGGCCGGCCCGCCTCACAACGCCGCCCGCCCATTCCCCACCCTTCACCACAGCTGCGCGGCAACGCGGCAAGGGGCAGGTTTGCGGCGCTCAAGGGAGTCCAGGTGCGAAGCTGCTGTTGGGAATTGGCTGAATTTCATTATAGTAGGGGGCATGATGACCGGCGGGCGCCGGGCGGGGCCTGGGGCGCTGACCAGGCGGCCGCGCTGGACGGGCAGCTCGCTGCGCGCTTGCCTTCAGGTGTGCCCCATTTCCACCCCTGACCGCGAACCAAACGCGCTCCAGTACCCACTTCAACCCCCCTATGAACCCAAGAGGTGCACTACTGCGGTGCACTCAAAACACTGCCATATCAAAGCACGGGGCCCTGCACACGTCATCAATTGCCGCCTCGCACCCTGCCCCACTTCCCCCTCTCCTGTACCAACCCTGGCGGCAAGCGTGCCCTCAGCCTCATCCTTTGCAAATGTACACACGGTCAGACACGCATGAAAAGCCACTGGAACACACCCACTCTTGCACACACATCATCCATGCACACGCATGCACGCTCACACACACACACACACACACACACACACACACACACACACACACCCACACACACCCACACACACACACACACACACACAATCACACGTGCATGTGTACAAGGCCACCAAAACGAGTTACCCCCAATCCGCACACACGCTTCTCTCCCCTCGTGCGGCACGACATGGCACAGCCACACACGCACATGCCTCCAAGCCCATGGATTAAGAATGAACCCGCACGCATTTGAACCCTCCTCAGGTGCGCATCCCATCCGAGGTTCTGAACGTGGAGGACGCTGAGGACCTGCTGTTCAACGCGGTGGTGGTCGGCCGCGACAACACGCATGCGGGCTGCCTGACAGTGCGCTTCAAGGTGCGCGCGCACGATAGAGAGAGAGATTGTGTGTGTGTGTGTGTGTGTGTGTGTGTGTGTGTGTGTGGAGGGGGTGTGGCTGAGGCGGCGGCTGGGCGAAGGCGGAGGGGTGGTGCGCGTTGGGCGGGGAGCCGTGCCGAGGGAAAGCAGACGCGCGCGCGCAAGCGCATGCGCGCGCACGCGCATGCGCGCGCACACACACACACACACACACACAAACACACACACACACACAAACACACACACATACACATACACACACACACGTCCTCGCAGCACTGGAAGGAGCGCTTCTTCTTCCCCCTTGAGCAAATCGAGGAGTGGATCATAGAGCATGCGGATGCGGACCCAGATCGCGTGAAAGAATTCGCCTCCTGGCCCAGCAACGAGGCGTCCCGCAACCGCGTGGTGCGGACCAACTACGGCCCGGCGATCAGCGACGACACGGCCGTCGCCGACCGCCTCGCTGAGGCCGCGCGCGAGACCGACGAGTTCGCCAATGTGCGGCGCCGCGGCGCGTTGAAGAAAGTGCGGGTGCCGGCGCAGGGGCCCGCGGCCGGCGGCGGCGGGGGGTATGGGTTTGAAGAAGAGGGCTGGTCTGGCGGAGAGGAGGGGGCGGGGCTGGAGGAGGAGGGGTACGGGTATGCCGACACGCCGGCCGAAGGCAGCGGCGCGGACGGGGACAGCGACGGCGGGAGCGAGGCGGAGGAGGAGGAGGATGGGGAGGAGCCGGACTTGACGGCCGTCGCGGCGGCGGCGACGACGCCCCTGGCGCGCTCCCCGCGCTCGAGAGACGCCTCGCCGCCGGCGGGGCCCGGCGCCGCGGCCGGCCCGGACCCCGCGCC